GGGATTTGGTTCGGTGGTCGACGTTGAGGGCAATACGCATAGAGATACAACACACCTATGAGCCGCAGTTCTCAAACGCTAGGCTATAAATGGTTGCAGGTACTTAAATTTTTCAATCAGACAATGTTTACTTTGTCTGGTTTAGCCTTAGATTTAGTACAAGTTTTACAGCATTTGCAACACAATTAGGGCATATACATGGCAAAGATAAAAAGAGGTGTTACCAAAAGTCTAAGAGTACCATACAAAGAAAAGGAGGAGAGATAATTAAGGATCATAGATGAACGATACATTTTTTTCTCTAGCGAGCTGCTTCGACCCCGCCTGTTACGGCCAACCTAGGCGGAGAGGCATAGATTACCAATTCTCGGCAGACAACGGAGATATTCGATCCAAAAACAAACAAAAAAATATCTTTCTCACATGAGAAACGAACTTAGATGCTCTGCATGAGATAAATAAGAGCCTAACTATAACAGACGCCTATAACAACCTATGATAGTATGGGTTTCTTCTCAGAGATAATAATTCGCAACACTTACGGTACAAAGGAAAATGTGTACATTAAAAAAAATCAAAACACTACTTTTCAACCCTGTCGACTCAATGGAACAGACGAGCCACCGGATCCCGAGGAAACGCACGCTTTTGGACTTATTTGATTCAAAATTTACAAATCATTTTGCCTAGTACATCTCGTGTCGAGGCTTAAAAAATATATATAATTTACAACTTCTCGACGATCGAACTGATGACGTCAGGCAAAATCCGGACGATTTCAGGAATCCGGACGATTTCAGGAATCCGGGCGATTTCAGGAATCCGGATTTCCGAGTTTATCCGGAAATTCGGCACTTCTGATGGAAGCACGTCGAAATTAAAACTGTATGCTTTCTCTTATACTAACAGGTTCCAACGTTAAGTAGTCTTTTCTAGAACAGAGATAAAAATGAAGGTGTCTTGGCGGATACGACGGAGAAAACCCGTGAAGCGTGGGTCAGGAAAGGATATGAAAGAAGGAAAGAAACGGTCGTCTCACAAGAACAGCCTTCTTTCTACTAAGATTCTAAGCCAAGAATTGTGTACCCTACCTGGCACACGGACACACGACAGTGACCACAAACACTCGCACAAAATCTGTCGCCAGCGACCTCGCCAGAGTAGTTAGCCTTTCTCACCCTTGTCTCACAGTGAAAGCAACGCAATGAAGGCAACAGTTGTGTTGATGAATGAACCCAAATGCCACAGGAC